CCTCCAGCAGCTTGGCAATCGCAGGGTCCATCGGCTTCTCTTCCGTAGGCTCAGTGACGGGCCTAACATAGGCAACAAAGACTTGTTCCTCTAATCTCTCCTTCTTCACCAATCTGGCGAACGCGGGGGCACTAAGGCAGCAATGTGCCAAGGAATTCTCTACTCCTGACACATGAAACAGGCGGGCAGTCTTAGCCTCGCCTGCAGAACTAGGGAGTCTACACTCGTGCTCCTTCAGATGGAGCGTTGCCCCGGCTGCCTCTCCCCAATCCATTCCCAGTACTACATCAAACGGGAGGTTGTCCTCTATGAGGAGAGTCAGGGGGTGGAGGACCTTCTCCACCTTCCCATCTTTCTCTAGGCGAAAATACGTCTGAACTCCCTCTACGTAATCCTCTACAACCATGGTACGATTGTCCGCGAGGATACTAACTATGGGGTCTGTCAGTTTTTGGACCTTAAGTCCCAGCCTCAACTTCTGCAGCGCTTGCTTACTAATATAGATGCGGGTGGCCCCTGAGTCTACTAGGGCCCCTACTCTACTTCTAAAAATCTCTGCATCTAATAAAATCAGCTGCCCTTTATTCTCCTTCTTCATCTTGGCCCAGCCTCCTCTCCTTCAACTCTTCCGTCACGCCTGTGAGGGAGGTGTCTAGCGAAACTCTAACACAAGCAGTTTCGGGACAGCTGTCTAAACACCGGCCTGCAACCTCTGCCGTAGGCACATGTGGTGTGGGAGTCTCATGTCGGCTAGCGCTATTTTCCCCATATGGCCTAGTGGTAGGGGTCGTTGCTACCCCTACCAGCGGCTTCCTTTTGGCTCTTGAGCAGCCGTTCGGGTCTCTCGATACTTAGGACAATATTTGATGATATGCCCCGGGTCACCGCAGAAAATGCACTGGCCCCGGTTCAATCGTTGTTGCCATAAAGCCTGGTCCAGACCCAAAGATTCCCACGGCCTACCCTGAGGTAGCCCTGGGTGCCATCCTCTTACTCTATAGGGAGACCTGTTCCTAGGACGGTTTTGCGGGGGACCTTGACCCCTACCTCCCGCTTGGCGGTTCCCTCCTCTGTCGCCAACCCCCTGATCGCCCTGGAACCGGCTCCCTGAGGCCCGGCCCCCTTGGCCTTGGCCTCGTCCTCCTTGCGGCCTCCCTCCAGCCGCGACAGCAACGTAAGTCCTCCCTTGGCCCACACTACTGTCCTCCTCCTCGAACCCCCACTCAATCTGGTCGTAGGGGATCTCGTCCACACTACCCTCATCTAAAGTGAGCACAAGGCTATCCTTGGTCTTGACTTGCCCTGAGATAGTGCGGCCCTTCCACTTTTTGCCCTTGTCTAAATCTTTGTGCCAGAAGGTGGAAATCGACGCAGACTTCGCCTCGAACGCGACCACTTCCCTGCTAAGTATATCATAAGTCATAGCAGGGTCCTGACTCTTGTCAAAGAAGTGACCAC